GATTTTTTTTTAAAGCAAACAGCCTCTCCTTTCACTTAGAACATATTCTTGAGTCTAGGTTTTGGGAAATAAGCTGAGTCCCAGGGGTCCTGTTTTTTTGTTTTTGTTTTTTGTTTTTTGCATGTACTCTGACGATTTCAGTTTCCAAGAATGCTGGAAACCTGAGCATTTCCTGGCATGCAGGAACCCCGGGATAGCCTTGGATTGGAGGAAGAAGGTGCAGTGGGAGGCACATGTTGGGTGTTGTACAAGTCAGTCTTCTCATTACACATACGTTTCAACGTTGCCAGACTTTAATTTGTTATATAAAGCTGGAAACAGCAGCGCCACACGTAATAGAATAGCAAACCCTGGGAAGACTGCTCTTTGCAAGCATGGTTTGAGGAACCTCGCCTGTATCCACAGAGAGCAACCGGGATCTCTGTCCACAGTTCTGAAACAGTCAGACCCAGGACTTCCTAGGGTGACATCTGTCCGAGGTGCTGAAGGGACCTGTCCCATTTCCTACAGTGGGTCTTGCCCTGGCAGTGGGTGGTCACTTCATCGTGGGGTCACCATGCTCCATCATTGTGAGATCACATTGCTATAACAGATGATGGTAGTCACAGGCTACACCTCTGGCTTCTACTGAAACCTACTCAGAGTTGCCACTGTGGTCCTGTTCCTCACTAGAGGGGTCCTATTCCACTGTAGGGACAGTGGGAGGGTGACGGGAGGCTATGTTAGTTACCTTTATTGCTGCTATTAGACAATATGACCAAGGTAACTTATAGAAAAAAATAGTTTATTGGGGGCCTTATAGTTACAGAGGGTGAATCCATGCACATCATGGTGGGGACACGGCAGGAGGCAGGCAGGCAGGCAGGCATGGCGCTGGAGCAGTCACTTAGAGCTCCCATCTTGATCCCACAGACGTGAAGCAGAGAGGGAGGAGGCAGAAGGAGAAGAGGAGGGGGAGGGGAATGTGGGAGAGAGAGAGAGAGAGAGAGAGAGAGAGAGAGAGAGAGAGAGAGAGAGAGAGAGAGAGAGAGCAAGAACACTGATTGGGAATGGAGGGGCCTGCCCCTGGTGACACACCTCCTTCACCAAGGCCACGCCTCCTAATCCTTCCCAAATGGTTCCACCAACTGGGGACCAAGCGTCCCAAAATATAAGCCCATGGGGGCCATTCTCATTCTCACCCGTATCATGGCAGGCTCTCAGCCATTTTAGCATCTCTCTGGGGTATTTTGGAACCTACCAAGAGTGCTGTAAGTACAGGTAGAGGTGCCACAGACTTCGGCTCACAGACCCCACTTAGCACAGCTGTCTCCCAGACTTAGATTCCAAGGTTTGTAGTGACCCTGTGTCTGGAGACCCATGCTCAGGGATTCCCACATGTGACACAGCTCCCCTCAAGATGGAACACAAGGACCCCATGTGGCAGAATAATATAAAAATATTTGTTAGAAAGGCCACACAACCCTAGCAAGGGAAGCTGAAGCATGAAGATTGAAAGTCCAAGGTTACAATCACAGAAAGACAAGCAGGGTATGTACTCACTCATATATGGATATTAGACATAGAGCAAAGGCTACCAGCTACAGTCTACACCACCAGAGAAACTAGGAAACAAGGAGGACTCCAAGAGAAGGACACATGGTCTCCTGAAGAAGGGGAGGGGGACAAGAACCCCTGAGCAAATTGGAGGGGGAGGGAGGTAGGAAGGGGAGAGGAGGAAGGGGGAGGGGGGGAGAACACGAGGGATCAGGAGGACTGAGACAGGGGAGAAATAGAGGAGGGCAAGATGCCTTGATCGAGGGAGCCAGTACAGGTTTGGAGAGAGGTCTGGCACTGGAGAAAGGTTCGGAGAACCACAGGGATGACCACAACTAAGAATCTAGGCATCGGTGGAGAGGCTGCCTTTGATGCCCTTCCCTTATAATGAGATTGATGATTACCTTGGTTGCCATCCCAGAGCCTTCATCCAGTAGCTGATGGAAGCAGAAGCAGGTACCCATAGCTAAACACTGAGCCATACTCCTGGAATCCAGTTGTGGAGAGGGGGGGAGGGATGAGCAAAGGAGCCAAGACAGTGCTGGAGAAACCCCCAGAAACAGCTGACCTGGCCTAGTGAGAGCATGGAGACCCCTGTCATAAAGCTGGGGAACCAGCATTGGATGGAACCAAGACTTCTGAATGTGGTGCCAACTAGGAGGCCAGGGCAGTCTATGGGACCTCTAACAGTGGAATCAGTGTTTAATGGACTTTGGGAGCCCATTCCCTATGGAGGGAAACTATTGCAGCCCAGATACACTAAAGAGGGCCTAGCCCCCCCCCAATGATGTGACAGACACTGATGGCCCCTCCCCATGGAAGGTCTCACTATCCTTGGGGAGTGGGTGGGGTTTAGGTTGAGGGGGTCATGGGAGGGCGAGGGAATGGGAGGACTGATATGTAAAATAAGATTGTTTCTAAAATTAAAAAAAAATAGCTGGGCGTTGGTTGGTGGCACAAACCTTTAGTCCCAGCACTTGGGAGGCAGAGGCAGGCGGATCTCTGTGAATTCAAGGCCAGCCTGGTCTACAGAGCGAGTTCCAGGACAACCTCCAAAACAATACAGAGAAACACTGTCTCGAAAAACCAAAAATAAAATAAATATAAAGTGAAAAAAAAAGTTCAACGTTAGCCTGGACCACGAAGTGAGATGCTATCTCAAAAATGTCAAACATTTCTGTGTATAAAACATTCACACAAATTTTAAGTCTATAGCAGAGGAGGGAGAGGGAGGGAGGGAGGAAGGGAGAGAGAGAGAGAAAGAGAGAGGGAGAGAGAGAGAGAGAAAGAGAGAGAGAGAGAGAGAGAGAGAGAGAGAGAGAGAGAGAGAGATTATCTAGATGAAATTACAGGATTCCTAGCAGGCACCTAAGTCTCCGTACACGTAGAACTTCCTGTAAGGGTAGCTGTTTCCCTGCAAGCTGTCGCTACAGATACGTCTCTCTTACTCCCTAACTTCAGGACTCTTCAGTGTGCCCTCCCCCGTCTCACCTCCTTCACTCCACGTCACGCCTTCAGCTCTGTTGTGCACCAGAGTTTATTCTTCGTTGATGTACAGCGCTTTTGTGTGTGATAATTCACTGTGGTTCATTTGCTCCTTCATTGACAGGCAATGGGGCTCTCTCCAGTTTATTTGGAAGGGAGCTGACCACACTTTTGTGCAGTTTTTTTTGGATGGGCAAAACACCCAGCTGTGCCAGGTGTGTATTCAGGACAGGGATCGCTGAATCGCAGTGAAGGCATCAGTTTTCACATTGGTCATATTGATTTACAGTCATTACAAAATTAATTCCTCCTTCCTTGCTTTGCCTTTTTCTCCTGACCAGTGGAGACGATGTTCTGGAAGTGTTTTCTGGGGCACTTTACTGATCAGTATTGATCAGATGACTTCTCTGCTAACCTCTACCTGGAACAGAGGCAGCCCCCCACACACACACCTGCCTTCTTCTCTATCACTGACATGACCCGGTCTGTAATGGAACCGGAATGAGATGACACTGGGTGTGTAGTGAGTGACCCCCCTCCTTTTCTTCCACATCCGTGGCTAGATTGTGACTGAGAGAAGAATCCAGTCAAGCAGGGCTTGTGTCTCCCTCCCTGCTCCCCCCTCCCGTGTGTTCTGGACACTCAAAGACCAACTTAAAATCTGCAGGAAGCATCGTGCTCCAAGAACAAGATGGGGACAGAGGCCGTGAAAGGAGAAAGTGCTTGCCCACAGTCTCACCTTTCCCAAAGGCGTTCTGAGGTTCACGGGCAATATATGGACTGCTGATGCACAGTTTTTAGGAAAGTGTGTGTGTGCACGTGCGTGCATGCGAGTGTGTGCATGCATGTGTGTGTGTGTGTGTGTGTGTGTGTGTGTTCACACATCCATTTGAGTGCATACAAAGACCACAGGGGAGCACACGGAGTGTCCTGTTCTATCATTTCCACCTTATTCCCTTGGGATAAAGTCTGTCACTGACCCTGGAGCTTGGCAGTCAGCCATTGCTTGTCTTGTTCCTACCCCATGCCCCCCTCCGGCACTGGGGTGTCAGGCACGTGTGTGGCCAGGCCCAGCTTTCTTTCAGATCTGTTCCTCATGCCTGTATTGGCTCTTACCGACCCGTTACCCAGCCTCCGGGCTTAAGTAATCCCAAGGCACAAGCTGGACCACAGACAGTGCAGTAATCTCAAGAGCAAGGGGAATATTTCCCACTGTCCTCAACGCTGATCTGTTCACGAGGGCCCCAACCCCCTCGTCCTGATGACTGTGCACTCTGACTTTGAAGTCACAAGGTTTTCAGCTATATAGTTACTTTTCTGTGAAGCTAATCTGTCCATGTAGGCCTGTGTATTTATATATGTGCATGTCTGTGTATGTATATGTCTCTGACTGTGTCTGTATGCATATGCCTGTGCGTGTCTGTCTTTCTGTGTATATGTCTGTGTGTACAGATGTGTATATTTCTCTCTCTGTGTGTCTGTGTGTGTGTATCTGAGTGTTCATTGGCCTGTATATGTGCATATGTCTGTGTGTTATATCTACTTCAGTGGTTCTCAACCTGTGGGTCATGACTCTCCATAGGGGCTGCATATCAGATATTTACATTATGATTTGTAACAGTAGCAAAATTACAGTTGTGAAGTAGCAACACAATAATCTTATGGTGTGTGTGTGGGGGGTCACCACAAGGTGAGGAACTGTGTGAAAGGGCGGATGCATTAGGAAGATTGAGAACCACTGGTCTATGTGTTTATGTGCATAGGTGCATGTCTGCATATGTGTGTGTCCATCCATACATGTGTAGTCTGTGTGTCTCTGTGCTCCCTGCTGCTGCCCCTTCTGTGTCTCCCAGGCTCTGCCGTCAGTCTCCCTCTCTCCTCTCACTCCTGTTTTCACTGGGTTTCTGGCTCCCCCTTCCCCTCCTTCCCTCTGGCTCCCCCTTCCCCTCCTTCCCTCTGGCCTCCTTTCTCCCCACAGCTGTTTCTCCTCCCACTGCCCTGCCCTCTGAATTCAAAACATCCCAAGGGCTGGCACAGAATAAAGTAAAGCCCCTGAGTTCTCTTGAGACGGAGCAGAAGATGCCCAGGACCCCATCTGCAGCTGCAGTGGAGACAGGCAACACTTGGTGCTGAGAGACGTTGGATCAGGACTGGGTTAACGGCGTTCTCATCCTGAACCGACATCCACATCCAGGGGGCTCTTTGCTGGGCTGAGTTGAAGGTTAAAGGGCTCTGGGCATAGCATGGGTGTGTGTGCGGAGTGGGGATTAGCTTGTTTGCGGGGGGGGGGCGTTCGCTTGGTTTGGATTCTCTCAGCCTGGAATTTTGGGGGCAGGCAGATGGTGAGTCATGACAGAGTCACAGTAGGATGCAGTATTTACCTGGGAGCCTTGGGGATACTGGAGGATTCTGTGGATTCCCTACACATCTTGGAATATTCTGAATCTGGGGTTGGGGACGCTCTCAGTCTCAAGGGAACTTAACTTTCCTATTAGCCATCCAGGTTACCTGTAGGTCATACAGGAAATGCTTTCAAATCTGCCACAGCTGCAGGAGTTTCAGTGGCCCCTCTAGCCCTGCTGGCCCAAGGATGGTCACTGTCAGCACTTTCCCTCTCCATGAGGATCAATAGGGCCCTTGGATGTGACCTCGAGTTCAATTATGGCTTCAATTATGGAATAAAGAGGCTGTTATCGCACCTACCTCTTATTAGAAACACCACGCTGGGGGCTGGAGGAGACCGGTCCCGAGGGAAATCATTAGCCCACTAATTTGAAATCAATTTAAAGTGCATTTGCTTAATGATATGAGCATTGTGAATTATCTATAAATTGTTAATTTAGTTGAATGTCACACCAGATTTTCGTTTTACGAATTGGGTTTCGGGGTTGGCGGATGCGAGCATGGGTGTCACTTCTCCCTTGCTCTCCTCTGACACAGAGCTTGGCCATCTTCCTCGGGCTTTTGAGCCTGTGACCTGCAGCTACTCAAGAGCCTTCGAGTGTCTCAGGCAATTAAGGCAGGAAAGGGATGCTGGTGAGTGCTTGCGTGGCTGCCGTTTGCCTCTGCCGACAGTCTGGGGAGGAGCACAGAGTAGAGCAGGGCTAACCCTCTCCCAGCTGCCTCTGCCTGCTCTCTTCACAGGGATTCACTGCCTCCGTCTGAACCGGAAGACAGGAACCTGTGAAGCGGATTCCTGGGATGAAGGAGAGCACAGCGGCTGACAGCCTGTGGGTTTCCCACAGCCCCTGTCACGGGAACGAGGCTGCTGCCTTCAGAGGCAGCTTCTTTCCTATGGACTGGGCACCTGCCGATAGGCGGTAGCACCAGGTGGGCCCTGTGGGCAGGCAGGACCTCCATGCCAAGCAGCTGGAATTCATTAGTCTTTTAGTGTCTGCCCCATGGCAGCACTATCCTGGAAACTGCAGTTAAACTGTGAGTAAAGATTTTTGCTTAAAAAATAGACTTCAGTGTATCATCACTTTGTGGCCTCTGCCACATGCCCTGCTGAGATCTGGCTGCAACAACACCGTGTGAAGTGTGTCCTTGCCTTGTTCAGCACATGAAGTCTGGGAGTGGTTGATCACGACCCACAGGCTGCTTTCATTTCTCTCACAGAACCCGATTCTGCAAACCATCGCAGAGGACTTCTCAGCTCCGTTGGCGGGACGGACAGACAGACGGCATCGCTCCACCAGCATTTGACCCAACAGACCCCACTTCCTGGTCCATTTGGATGTGACACCAGACCTAGGTCAGAGCCAGCCAGCATCCCTTCTACTGCATAAAGGATGCTGGCATCTTGGTTGCCTAGCTACCCTAATAAAGTACCAAAAGTGGACATGTGAGGCCTTCTGGTTCTGAGGCAGGAAAGCAGGATGCTAGCAGCCCGTGGTCTGGTGAAGCCTGTGGCTTCCATCCTTGCCACTCCCCAGTTTCGGGTACTCTGCTGTCCATAGGTGTTCTCCAACTTCACCTGGCATGTATCTCTGGATGGCCATGTTATCTGTGTGTGTCTATGCCCAGATTCCTTCATTAAGCACACCCGCACCCGACAGTGTGTGTGTGTGTGTGTGTGTGAATATGTAGCTACATGTGCCAAAGTGTTTGTGATCGGAGGACAGTCCTCTTGGCACACCTTGCTGAGATAGGATGCCCATTTGTTCTCCACTGGGTATGCCAGGCAAGCTAACCAGTGAGTGATTGTTACGGACTCACCCTCTGAAACCGCGAGCTTCAGTCACACGCTTTCTTTTAAAGTTGTCTTGGTCCTGGTGTCTCTTCGTAGCAATAGAACAGTAACTGATACAGCTCCATCATAGGAGATCATCCAATTTCTCATCTAGACGGAGGTTTAGTGTGTGTGCGCATGTGTGTGTGTGTGTGTATTCAGTCAGTATTTACAGTGTATACATTATGTAAAGAACTTGGACACCCATCCTTGGCATCCATGGAGCACCCTCCGCCCAGTGCGGGAGACAGCCAAGTCGTTAAGAACGGCACGAAAGGAAGGCTAGGTGCTGTGTGTTGACTAACCCACACTTGGGGTCCCCAAAAAAGGCTTCTGGGAGGAAGCCAACTCTTACAGGGAAAGAAGGCACTGGACAGTGCCGTGGGTTCAAGATGAGGATCGCTCTCGTGTAAAGGTTAGGGGTGAGTTGCAGCATTGCACGTGTTAGGGGTGGAGCTTGGTTAGGAGAGGCCCGAAGGCAACGTGGTGGATGTGACACGAAATGAGAGTGGGGACACGACAGTGAGACCCTGCGGAGCCCCGAAAGCCGTGTGAAGAACCCTCAGTTGAACTCTAGAGGTTCTAAGCAGGGCTTCGGCTATTGTGGCTGTAGTGTTGCATAGCAAACACCTCCAAACGCAGGGTCTTCCAGGACTAATCACTTCCTGTCCACTTGGAGTCTGATCTGTGCTAGGCCCATCTAGGCTTGGCTACAGGCCAGAGGTGGGGTCAAGCTGATCCCACTGACTTCTCAGCTTCCTGGAGCCAGGAGGCTTGGGGACCGTGTCCTTTACTCAGAGAGGCAGAGACACAGAGGGGCACCCATATTTGAGCCTTTACTGCTTCCTGCTTGCCTTATCCCACTGAACAACGCGGGTCCCGCCCCAGGCTTGCTGTCAGTAGGGGAAAAAAGCGTATTCCACCCCAGTCAGCTGGGGAGGGGGGTGGACAGCTGGGGAGGGATTAGCTGCTGCTTATTGAGGAGTTTTGGAACCCTAAACACATCCATCTTCTCAGGGTTGGGAGAGGCCTGTCTGATAACAAGGATGACGGAGAAGATGGCATGACAGGCATTACCGTGGCCACGGCCTGGGCAAACATCACCTTATTAAAGCACAGAGACCATACTCAGTGGGTATTATTCTATTTAACGGATGAGCAAGCAGGTAAAGACGGAGTGTGTGGCTTGCTCAGACACAAGGCCAGCGGAGGCAGAGTGAAGGTGCTATTATGAGAGCCGAGCTGTGACCCCCTGCCACCCAGGGCAGCCCATCCTGAGTGTCTTCACTGCCCATTCGTCCACACCCGGGCGGGGCGGGGCGGGGAGGTGATCAGGGCCACCATTGCTTTGATCACGCCAGTCTCTCTAGCTCCAACCCTGTCCTTGCTTGGAGAATGTGGCGGGATGGGTACCTGGCATTGCCCCCAGCAGCTCCTGGAAGGGCATCAGATGTAACGAACGTCAGCTCCTGTTTGTCGAGGCCTTCAGTGGGACCCCTCGTCTCCCTCCCGCTGCTGGAGTGTGCTTCGCGAGAAGCCGGTGTCAGCCACCCCTCTCTTCACAAGAAAATCACCTACGTGATCGATTCCCGCAGTCAGAACAGTGAGTGCACAAAGATTTATGGTGGGAGGCTTCCTCGGTGGCTCTCTGCCTCAGAGTAGCGTCCCCACTGGCACACACAGGTAACCGCGGTTTCAGTTTCTCCTCGTATTGTTCTCCGGAATTATTTAATGCACATGCAAACAGAAAGCAAAACAAGCACGGGTTCTCACCTGCTTGGGTATTGTTCCAACACACAAGCTAGTGTATCCCACACAGTTTTACAACCTCCTCTCTCATTTACTCTTCACTGGCAATTTTTGCATCCCCGCACCTAGGAAGCCCCTCCTTGATTTTCAGCTGCAGAGCACAGACCTATGTAACTCACTTCCTCTGTTCTGGTGCTGATGGGTGTGGGGGACCCTAGTTCTTTGATAAGTCAGACTGATCGTCAGTGCATACCTTCTGCACTTGGCCAGGGTTAAGTTTACCTGCAGGATTAATTCGCAGGAACAGGGGTACTAAATCCAAAGGGCGGCGTGGCTATAATTCTGCTACTGACAAGCAGTCCTGCATGGTTGAGCAGATTACACACTCCAACAGGAGATACCGAGAACCTGCTTCCCCATAGCCTCACCGCCAAACTTTTACATCTACCAGGCAGAGATGGGCTTCTGTTTGGAGAGACTGCCATTGTTCCCCCACTCTCCCTGGGACAAAACACAGCAGCCTCTGGCAGATGGGGTGGTGGGCACAGTCCCATCTGGTCTTCGCAGCTTGAGGAGGACAGGGACATGTCTCTGGCCGCAGCTTCCTTAATGGAACAAGACTGAGGCACACAGAGGATTCTCAAGGGACAAGAAACACCCATTAAAAGCAGAGTAGCCACCCTTAAAATCAGCTGCCGTTGACATCTGGTTTTGGTGGAGAAGTGAAGCCAAGCGGCCTCCCTCAGACCCCACGCATGCCCTTAGCCCCTCCTCCATACGGAGGACTGTCACCTTGGCACACCGATGCCTGCCCGTCCTGGGTCCCCCAGGCTGGTTGCTGAGCTCAAGTGAACAGAGATCTCATTAAGCTCATTGAAGCCTATTAAGACTGCAGCCCTCACTGGCGTCAAAGGAAGGTCAAGCCTCTGTTCCCAGGAGTTGGTACCTCTGGGACCCGGTGGTGCCAGCAGCCACAAAGAAGATGAAGGGGATCAAAGAGGCAGACAGCCACGTAGCCCAAGTTCCCCAGGGCACCCAAATTGTTACCACCTCCTTTCCCCAGACCTGCCCCCACCCTGGGTCTATTAGTCACTACACGGCGGCTCCCGGGAGGAAGGCAGGGAAGTATGGCTGAGAAGCTACGATTGGATGTTGAGATTGCCATTCTTGGAGGAGATAGTAAGCCGGCTAGAAGCCAGGGTGCCGTACACACTTGTCCTCCCCGATACCCAGACCGTTCATCTGTATATTGGAGGCTGATTTACAGGAGTCCCGAGGGGCACAGAGATGCCCAGAAGCTAGGGAGCCTGGACCACAGTCCCCCTCTGTCCTCAGCCCACCTGCCCAGCATCCCCACAGCCCTCTGAAAAGGTAGAGGTCCAGGGAAAAATGAGCTATTCCTTTAAAGTAATGGGCCAGGCAGGGCTCTCCCTCCAGTGAGCAAGTGTCATGCGGGCAGCATGTAAATGAACCAGCCCTACATTAAACTGGGTTATTGGGAAGATCTCACGACAAGGTCTTGGAGACATCAGTCCTTTTGGGATGTGCTGTCAATCTGCCAGCCCCCTTTCCAACTCTCTGGACCTGCCGTTAACACCACACTCCGAGTTGTGGTCAGCTAGATGGATCCTGTGTATGCGGCTGCCACACAACGGCTCCAGAAGCCTGGGTCAGAGCTAGCCTGCTCCCTGAGACCTTTCCCCCAGTGCCAGGCCCTCCCAGGGCTCTAGCTTTACCAAGAAAAGAGAGTGCTAGGCAGATCCAAGAACTTGCTGCAGTGTTCAAGGCCCCTTGATCTGACTGTAGCCTCCGGCCTCCTAGTAATACAATCCCCTCTGTGAGAGGTTATATACCTTCGGGGACACACTTAGGCTCCATGTCTGGCTCGTGATACAGGAAAACCCGTCTCTCATGCGTTGGTTCCCTTGAATGCATCATCTACCCGTGATGACTAGAAGAAGAACGGACTCCTGCTGGGTGTGGTGGTGCGTGCCTTTAGTCCCAGGCATGAACTCAGATGACTCTCTGAGTTCAAGGCCTGCCTGTTCTACTGCATAAATTCCAGGACAACCAGGCTACACAGAGAAACCCCATCTTGAACTCCCCTGCAAAAGAAGAAAGACCGGACTCCTGTGTGTGACCACTCTGCCCCCATGTATGCTGTGGTCCTGATGACTAGTCGCCACGGACAAGAGTTTATTGGGAGTGAGGTCTCTGAAGCCAACAAGGTTAAGATGGAGTGAGGCCAACTCCAGCATGACAGATGTCTCTCTTAGAGAGAGACAGGACATAAAATGACATATTCATGGAGGCCAGCAGGTACCCAGCAGCCTGGGTGGGGGGCGCGCTGGACCAGATCCCTTCTTTGGATTCCCAGAGCGAACAGCCCTCCTATCAGAGCTGAGGGACCTCTTCCAATGCAGACATCTGTGGTGCCGTCATGGCCCCTCAGGAAGTGAGTACCAACCCTGAGGAGAGCATCTGCTGTGTAGCATGGCAGCCCGTACAGTGAGCATTCTGTTTCTTCACTGTGGATGGTGGGGCCAAAGTTTCACGTTCCCTCAACAAACAAACACTGGGCGCCGCCCCATGCTAGGTGCGCACTGTGCAAGGACGCAGCGCTATCAGCCCTCCCTTCAACGCCTATTAGTGACCAGGTGAGCTGGTGTGTGGACCACCCTGGATTCCTCTCTCCCCATCAGGGATCTGTCCCAGCTCAAGCTGTGTCCAGCCATAAGCCCGACGGATCACGGTGTCTATTCCCAGAAAGGCCAGTGACTGTCACAATGGCAGGCTTTCAAAGACGCCCAACTGTGGGGCTGGATAGGCCCCGTGAAGTCAGCAGCATCCCTTGAACCCAA